GGTGGGGTCTCTGCTTGTCCCCAAGTGGTACAAATGATAAACATGCTTGACTGCAAAATCAAAGGTCAGAGGTTTAAGTTCACCCAGAGGCGCCTTGGATGAAAGGCCTTGGAGGTCTACGTCCAAAAAATCAGCCACTGAAAACCCTATAGAGCTCTATTCTTGACACACATGGAGTTGCCCTAAGTCCGAGCTGACTCAACAGGAACCAGGAACTAGCAACATATGCAGGTGCTCCACAATGATCCTTTCTGCCCTAAGTCCTCGGTTCTCACTTTTCATAGCTTCGTGCTGGCTCTCAGTTCCTTATCCATAGTCCAGTAGTCCAGTCATACTTACATGTCCAACTGCTTTTTGGGTTGATCAAAGATACTGTACATTTAACATGTCCACAACGGAGTTCACTTTCCATTTAAGCGAGGGCAGAGGTGGTTCAGTGGGAGAACTCTCACCTTCCACGTGGGACACCCAAGTTTGATTACTGACCAATGTCCCCCCTCACGCACAGCTACCACCCATCTGTCCGTGGAGGCGCGCATGTTGCTGGGATGCTGACAGGTTTTAGTGGAGTTTCTAGTCTTAAGATGGACTGGGAAGAAGGCCTGCTTCCAAAAATCAGCCCATGAAAATCACTGTGGTCTGATTGACAATGGGTCATAGGGATTGTTTGGGACCAGTCAGTATTTCACTCTGTTATGTCTGGGATTGCCATGAGCTATAAACATTTCCACTCAAACATGTTGTTGTTATGTGCCATGGAGTTGGTTCGGACTCATAGCAACCGGTAACAGGGTTTCCGAGGCTGTAAATCTTTACGGGAGCAGAAAGCCTCATCTTTCTCCCGCGAAACAGCTGGTAGTTTCGAACTGCTGACCCATGAGATTAGCAGCCCGATTTGTAACCACTACGCCGCTCAGACATGCATGTCTTGAATTACCTTCTGTGTGATATCTAAGTCTTTGACAACCCTCATGTCCGGGACAGAGGTTCTAAAGAACTCTCGAATCTTACCCCTCCATTTCCACTGCCATAGTCACCTTCTCCTTCCTCCCCACCCCCCATTCTTTCTAACCCAGCCATCACCCTACAGACCTCTCACTATATTTTTTCATTTATTGTGGTTTAGGTCAGCATTTACAAAACAAATGAGTTTTCCATTCAACAATTTACACATATTTTGTTTCACAATAGTTGGAATCCCTTCAATGCCCACTTCCTCTCTGGCTTCCCAGTAGCCCTTTTGTCCTCTCCTGCCTCTTGCTGCCTTCTAAGCTCTGTTTTACGGCCCTTTTTAGGTCTTTTATAAGTAGCTCTGGTAGCGTAGTGGTTACAAACCGGGCTGTGAGCCGCAAGGTCAGCAGTTCGAAACTAGCAGCTGTTCCATGGGAGAAAGCTGAGGCTTTCTGCTCCTGTAAAGATTTACAGCCTCGGAAACCCTGTACAGGGTTGTTATGAGTCGGAACCGACTCCACAGCACACAACCACCAACCACCAGGTATCTTATGGTAAATTATTCTGAGGAGCACGTTCCCCAAAAATGTTCACTTTATAGGTCTGTCTCTGGCTTGGCTGAAAGGTGATCGATCCCTGGGGCAGGGTTCAGTTCTAGGTTTGAAGGGCCACGGTCTCAGTCCCACCAATCTCTATACGACCAATACAGAGGGCTCACTTTAAAACAATCCCACCCATCCCTTATTATCCTGCTGTGTGCCCTTGGCAGTATAGAGCCCCTCACCTCACCCTGTGATTTACTCACATCCCAAAGTCAGAAAGGCCCCAAGAGCTGAGACAGGTTAAATGTAGGTCACTAATGCCAAGAGCTCTGGTAGTGTTGTTGTTGTTGTTAAGAGCCGGGGAGTCGATTCCTACCCATAACGACCCTGTATAGGGTTTCCAAAGAGCAACTAGTGTAGTGGTTATGAATCAGGGTGTAAGTCACTAATCCCAAGAGCTCTGGTAGTGTAGTGGTTATGGATCGGTCTGTGAACCTCAGGGTCAGCAGTTTAACTACTAGCTGTTCTGTAGAAGAAAAGGTGAGGCTTTCTGCTCCTGAAAAGATTTATAGCCTCGGAAACCCTGTACAGAGTTGCTTTGAGTCGGAACCGACTCCAACCAATGCCAAGTGCTGTGGTAACTCGAGATGACAGCCTAAGCAGGAGGGGCGTGGCAAAGGAGGCAACAGACACATAAAGGGTGAGCATTCTAGTAATGATAGGACACTTAAAGGAGAGGATTAGACCTTAGTCTTTGATGTTCTCAGCACCTGGATGTTGTTAACTGCCACAGAGTCAGTTCCGACTCATAGTGACCCTGCATAGGGTTTCCAAGGAGAAGCTGGTGGGTTTGAACTGCTGACCTTGTAATTCGCAGTCTAGTGCTGACCCTCCAGCACCACACCAGGAGTCCAGCACCTGGAGAGACTATCCCAAACCAAAGCCACTGCCATCGACTCAATTTGACTCACAGTTACTCTGGATCATACTTCTGAGGCTGTAAATCTTTGAGAGCAAAAAGTCTCTTTTTTCTCCCATGAGCAGCTAGTGGGTTTGAACTGCCGACTTTGTAGTTAGCAGTCCAGTGCACATCCTACAATGCTATGGAACAGCCAACAACCTGTTGCTGTTGAGATTCCAAGTCATGGAAACTCCATAAATCACACTGAGCTGCATAGCTGGTTTTTTGTTTTTAGTGGCCGTAATCTTTACAGTATAGTGGTTACGAATCGGGCTGCAAACCTCAGGGTCAGCAGTTTGAAACTACCAGCTGTTCCACATGAGAAAGATGAGGCTTTCTTCTCCTGTAAAGATTTACAGTCTCAGAAACCCTGTACAGGGTCGCTATGAGTCTGAACTGTCTCCGCGGCACACAACAATCTTTACAGAGAAGTCCTAGTACGGCGCTCTGGGATAAGGCATTGGACTGAAAGGCCGGTGGTTCAATCTCACTAGCCGTACCTCGGAAACTCTATACAGGGTTGCTGTGAGCCAAAAACGGCTTGAAGGCACTAAACAACAACGATCTTTACAGAAGCACCTGGCTTTTCTTCTTCCTTGGCATCACTGTGTGGGTTGGAACTATCAACTTTCTGGTTACTAAGCTGAGCACAAACAATTTATGTCACCCAGGCACTGGGCAGTGTTGGATAAATGTCAAGCTAGTGTGAAGGAAATGTTTTTCATCCAACTTGAGAACAGAAACCTCTTTGCATATGCACTGAATCTTTTAGTCTCACTTCTCCTTTCTCCCTCCTCCACCTGCTAGGTCCCAAAATAACCCTTTGCTGTTAAATTGATTTTGATTAACAGCAACCCTCTAGGACAGGGGTGGGGAACCTTTCTCTGGCCAAAATTTATAACTCATTTGTGGGCCATACAAAATTATCAACTGCTATATTTGGCCAAATATTTAACTAAGTCACTCCTAAGTTGCTCCTCAGAAAGTCTATACAAGGTCGCTATGAGTCGTAACCAACTCGACAGTACTTAACAAGTGATGGCTGGTACTGTGGTTGCCTTGGCAGGGCCAGACCAAATGATTTTGCGGTGTGGCACTGCAGGATAATTTGCTGGACTGCAAGGTCAGTGGTTCAAACCCACCAGTCGCACCTCAGAAACCCTATACAGGGTCACTATGGACTAACTCAACAGTATTTAACAGTAACAACAAATAGCCCATGGGCTGCACGTTCCCCACCCCAGCTCTAGAACAAAGCAGACATGCCCCAGAGGCTGTAAATCTTTAGAGAAGCCCCATAGAAGGTTTGGTGGGTTTGAACTGCTGACCTTCCAGTTAGAAGCAAAGCACTTCCACTTTAACCACCACCTCACCAGGACTCCTTCCCTGAAATAAGATTACAATTTCGGTCACGGAACCACAGTCATCTTTGACCCACCCATATTCCCCCCGTCATCCTGCCAAGTCAGTCTTGCTTGAGGCTGCTTCCTTCAGATCATCTCTTCCCTCAGGTCCATGGCAACCACTATCGGGAATGATTGAACTATCTTCCTAAATGGTTTTCCTGCCACTTAGTCCACCTCCCCCAACTCGACATTGTCGGCGGGTGTGGTGAAGTCCATTCTGACTCATAGGGACACCATGTGACAAAACCAACTGTCCCTTAGGGTTTTTGTGACTATAATCTTTACAGAAGCAGATGCCAGGTCTTCTTCCTGCGGAAGAGCTTGTGGGGTTTGAATTGTCCAATCTTTCAGTTAGCAGCTGAGCTGTTTGCACCAGAGCTCTGTATTATCCCCACCCTCTTCTAGTCCTTCCTTAAAATGAATGTTAAGTGGTATTGCCTAATGCTGTGCTTTATTGCTTCCTCTTCCACAACTCTGCACTCTGGACCAAATGAAATTACATCTAGGCACTCGTCAGTCTGGGCCCACCTTCCAGCTTTCCTATGGCTGCAACACACAGGTCTCATACTTTCCTGACTTGAGTTACAAGGACTATCCACTTTCGACTTGTTCTTAACAACCTGGCTCAGGCACGCTTGGGGCTAACTAAGAAAAGGAGCTTTTGTGTGATTAAGCACTCTCTCTGCCATATGGAGAACATAATTGTTGCATGAGATGTCATGGTATGAAAGCAAAGATAATATTTGCTAAGATCTTGGCAGGTTATCCTCCCATTCATTCACCACATATTGAGAAGTACAGTTGCTGGTATGCCCCCCACACATTCTAAAAAGGACACAAGTTGTAGTTTATGTAAAAATTTATTTGACCAAAATGTAGAAAAAGAGATACTATTACATATGATACAGTTGCAAGAATCTAAATGAAAAGTATCAGTTTTATTCAATTGCAAGATTTGCTAGTGTATCTCCTGGGTAGTGTGATGCTTAATAAATAGGAGTGAGGGGCAGGGGATGTGGATAAGCTAGAAGCAGGGCGATTTTGGCCAGAACTGTAAACTTGAATTGGCCCCCACACGGCTGGGGAATGTGGAATGTTTCAGCTCCGAGATGTTAACTGAGAAAGCAGAAATGTCACAAAGCCAGCATGTGCAGCTTTGTCTACAAAATACTCCCTATCCAGTTTAACCAGGAGTTTCTCGGTCTTTTATTAACTTGGTCCCGAAGAAGGAATTGAAGACTTAAATCAGCACTCTTCAACCTGTCATTCCCTGAAGGATGGAGATGAAGCTGGACTAATTTACTTTTTCAAATCTCTACTTTGTTCGCAGAGAGACCCCTTCTGCCCAATGTTTGTTAACAGAAAAATCCTTCTAGTCCAGTTTACTGGTGGTGGCCAGCAGTCTTTCTGATGTGGCAACCTGGGGTAGGAATGAACTGCACCATATTTATCCCTGCTGTGTAAATGGTCTCATATCAGAGCAGATAAGCATGGGTCATTACTGGAATAAGACATCTTCTCAAAGGCCAATTTAAAAATGAAAAGAAACGAATAGAGGAGCACAGCATGAAAGACTGTCCAGAGAACATCTGGCTTCTTATTCCAACCATGCCCAAGCATTCTCAAGCTGACTGCTCAGAGGAAGTTTCCTCTGCCCAGTAGAGTTTGTGTGGAAAAGGCCCAAGATGGTTAACCTAGTCTGTCTGTGATTTACGACTTTCCACTACCATCTTTTTTGTTTTACTCTGGATGGAAAATCCCCACCCATATGAATGGGATGGCCCCTGGCCTCCTATAGTGTAACTAACAGTGGCTCAGAAGGCTTTATTCTTCAGCCTTTTCATATTATTGGGGGTCTTCTATTCTCCCAGGAGCCAAATGCCATCATCTGGAGGGCGCATGCTCAATAGGAAACGCCCTGACTACATTAGGAGTAAATGCAACTTAAGGATAAAAAAAGAGAGCTGAAAAAGCTGGTGCCATTTGAAAAAAGGAAGTAATCAATTAGATTAAACTGGTGCTCAAAGCTTCTCTGATACAAAATATTTGGTCACGTATTCATATTTTGCTCGACAATTCCAGCAAAGAGAAAATGCAATAACAAAAGAAACTTCTTACAAGAGAAGAGAAAGACACGGAGCCCTGGTGATTTTGTTGGATGAGGACTCTTCTGTTTTGGTTATATACAGTTCAGTTCGTTTAGTGTCTGATCCAGTGTCTGATGCAAGCCCACGTTCTCTTCTTTGGCCTGGGCAAGTTTTTCTGGTGAGGATTAAAAATGAAGAGAAAAAGTAATTAATATGCATCTCTGTTAAAGGGGGAAAAAAAAAAAAAAAAAGTGTCTAAACCCCAAACAGCTAGAGTGAAATTCACACCAGAGAAAAAGTATGTTGCATTTGAACTATAACTGCCCACTGAGGAAAACGAGGGACCAAGTACCACTATTTGGGAATCAGAAGCATTGTCATAAAAAATAGGGCATTTGGTTAAACATGAATTTCAAATAAACATAAATAATTTCTTCGTAAAAGTGTGTCCCAAATGTTGCTTGTTGTTTTGTGCTGTTGTGTTAGTTCGACTCATAGCAACCTTGTATAGGGTTTCCAAGGAGAGGCTGTTGGATTTGAACCGCTGACCTTGCAGTCCAGTGCTTATCCTATAACAGCACCACACAAGGACTCCACCAAAACACAGTCACTGAGTAGCAGAAATTCAGATTTAACTGAACATCTATTTTGTTTTTAATTTGCTAAATCTGACAACCATCGAGTCAGAATACCTGGATTTAAACCCAATTGTGCCAGTGATGTAAAGCTATCTAACTGGCCTAGGTCTCAGTTTTCCCCATCCTAGTGGGGATATCAATACCAGTGTGTGGGTATGGTGTGTAGTATGAGGCACACACAGGAAATGCTTCAGAACTGAAGGAGTGCTACACAAACTTAAGATTTTAGCCCTAGATGGTGTGGTGCTGCGGGTAAATGTGCTGGACTGCAAGGTCAGTTTGAACCGCAAGGGAGGTGTCTCAAGTTCACCAGCCACTTCTTGGAAACTCGATACAGGATCACTGTGAGTTGAGACAGACTCAATGGCACTTAACAACAACAAATAACACTCCTGCTGTAGAATCAGCACAGGACTGCAAATTTCAAGGTTGGCAGTTCAAACCCACCAGCTGCTCCTCGGAAACCCTATACGGAGTTATGTGTCGAAACTGACTTGAAGACACTTAACAACAACAATGGGTAATTAATAGAGAATCCTTTTGCTGTTGGATGTTACTAAGTGGATTCGGGCTTATAACTAGCCCATGTGACAGAGGAGGGTTTTCTAAGCTGTAGTCCTGGTGTGGCGCTGTCTGCAAAGTCAGTTTGAATAGCGAGGTGGAAGTTTCAAGCTCACTCATCGCTCCTCGGAAACTCTGTATAGGGTGTTGCTATGGGTCGGAACTGACTCGACAGCATTTAACAACTATCTTTATGGCGTTCCTAGGCTCCAGGTCTTTTCTTCCATGGAGCAGTTAGTGGGCTTGAACCCCTGACCTTTTGATTAGCAGCTGACTGTGTAACTATGGCACCAACAGTGCTTCTTTGAAATTTAATTGTTGTTAATTGTTGTTAAGTGCTGTCAAGTCGGTTCCGACTCACAGAGACCCTATACAGAGTTCTGAAGTGCAGCTGGTGGGTTTGAACTGCTGACTTTGTGGTTAGCACCTTAGTGCTTATCCTACAGCGCCACACCACATAGTCCCCTAGTGCTAGTCAATTCGTCTTTAAGCTTTGGTAGGAAAATTAACTTCTATAAAAGTAGGAAAATAAATTGCTATAACCCATCATTCTTTTGGCGTTTCCGGGAATGGCTATTTGAATTCCAGTCTGAATTGTTAATGTGTGTGTATGTGTGTGTAGTGTCACATGGAGTGTGGTGGCTCCAGATGATAAGCACTGAACTGTGAACCATGAGCTCTCAGGTTAGAGCCCAAAGATAAGGCTTTCTGCTCCTGTGAAGATTTAGTCTTGGATACCCTACACCGGGTTCCTTTGAGTTGGAACCAACTCCAGGGTACTTAACAACCAATGCAGTGTCAGGTAGGCAAACCCAGGTAAGTGTAACATGATTGAGATTTAAACTCAATCCATGACCAGTGGGACTCCTGATGTGGAGCTCCATGTAGGATCAGCACTGGACTGAGAACCACAAGGTCGGCAGTTCAAACCCATCAGCGGCTTCTTGGATATCCCATACAGGGCCGCTATGAGTTGGAATCAACTAGACGGCACTTAACAACAACATGACCAGCGGCTTCTTGGGAGAAAGGTCTAGCAAACCGCTTCCATAAAAATTCCAGCCCAGAAACCCCCAAGAGCAATTCTATTTTGTCACACGGGGTCGCCAGTAGTTGGAATCCGCTCGACACATAATGGATTTGTTTTCCTTTTCCTTTATAGGTTATTACATGGCTGAGCTGATAAAACACAAACACACAAGGAAAATGCCAACAAGCGCTATGCGTGACAGAGCGCAAGAGAACTGGCTTGTAAATTTGACTGATAAGTGATAAGGAACTGGGCCTAGATCGAGTAAATTACTGGAGGAAAGCAAAAGGCTTCATAAAACATGATAGGACTGGCTGAGAAGATATCAGAAGGAAAACGAAGAGAATGGCAGCTATTTGCTGTGATTCCTGACCCTTTCATTTGAAATGGCACTAACCCACGTGACTGTGATCTGGAAGCAGGCCATCAGAGAAAAACACTGGCTTCAATTTATGCAGTCTGGATGGACAAATTGTAATCGAGTGCCGAGTATGGGTGAGCCAATTCCTCCAACATCTCATTTAATTCTCACAATGCCTCTGAGCTATCTCGCCTGTATTTTGCAGAAAAGGCCACACAAGATTCAACAATGTGTGTGGAGCTAGGATCCAAACTCAGGATTCCTGACTACAAATTCTGCCCTCACTTCTCTCTTACCACCCAAATTCCCCGGATCTACCTTGTTGCTGCTCGATGGCACATAACAACAACAACAACAACCTTGTTGCTGCTGGTTGCCATCGAGTCGATTCCGACTCCTAGAGAACCCATATGTGTCAGAACTGTGCTCCTTTTGGAAGCAGATTACCAGGTCTCTCTTCTGAGGTGCTTTTTGGCTAATAGTCTAATGCTTAACTGTTGGCACTACTCAGGGACTCCTTTACCATGTTAACTGCCCTTGTGAATTGTCAACAGGTGTGAGCATAACTCTGCTAATCTCTGCAAACAAAGTCCTACCTAGGTGCTTACTCCGACAGAAAGACTATCTAGGCAGGGCTGGGCCGCAGTTATTGCAAAGGGCAGAGATGGAAAACATCATTGGAAAAACCCCGGAAGCAAATATGTACAGAGAGCAAATCAACTGCCCCACCCCCACCCCCACGGCTTGTGATCTTTCCAAGGGCAGGTATATGGCAGTGTGAGGGGAGTGGGTAATTTATGTACATGTTCAGGATGGTGTGTGTGTGTGTGTGTGAACATGGTGAGGCCAGCTGTCAGTGGTATAGGAGGAATACCTATAAAGAAACATGGGGACAGAGCTTTCCCACCTGAATACAAAATTCTACATGAGACATAACAAGCAAACTGTGTTGTTAGCTGCTGCCGAGTGGATTTTGACTCAAGGCGACCCCATGTGTGCAGAGTAGAACTGCTCCACTTGCCAAGGTTGTGACCTTTCAGAAGCAGATTGCCAGGCCTTACTTCCACGGCACTCTGGACAGGTCTGAACTATCAGCTTTCCTAGTAGTTGTTGTTGTTAAGTGCTGTCGAATTGGTTCTGACTCAAACTGACTCTGTATAGGGTTTCCAAGGAGCAGCTGGTGAGCCTGAATCGCTGACCTTGTGATTTAAATTACCTTGCAGTCCAGCGCATTAACCTGCAATGCCACGCCAGGACTTGTGCTTAACCATAAGTGCCACTCAGAGACTCCATAATCAGCTACACTCCCTGTCCTTCCACCCCAAAACCATTGCTATCATCCATTTCACCTTATATCGACTCTCTAAGTCTATCGGCAGAGTAGAACTGCTCCCTAGGATTTTGGTTGGTGGATATGTGCCGGGGAGTTGGTTCCAACTCATAGCGACCCTGAACAGGGTTTCTGAGGCTGTAAATCTTTACGGGAGCAGAAAGCCTCAGCTTTCTCCTGAGGAACAGCTGGTAGTTTCGAACTGCTGACCTTGCGGTTCGCAGGCTGATTCGTAACCACTACACTACCAGAGCTCCTTCTCTAGGGTTTAAGAGGCTGTAAATCTTTATGGGCGCTGACAGACTCATCTTTCTCCTGAGTGGCTGGTGGGTTTGATCTGCTGACCTTGTGGTTAATATTCCAACACTTAACCCACTGCATCACCAGGGCACAAGCTATACAACAACCCATACCCACTACCATCAAGTGGATTCCAACTCATAGCGACCCTACAGGGCAAAGCTGAAATACTCTTTAAGGTTTCTGAGACTGTAAATCTTTATGGGAGCAAATAGCTTCATCTTTCTCCCATGGAGAGACTGGTGGGTTAGAACAATTGACCTTGTGGTGAGCAGACCAATGCCTAAAGCACTGTGTCACCAGGGTTCCTTTGTTGTTTGCCATAGAATCGGTTCTGACTCAGAGGGAGAATGCAGGTTTCCAAGAGTAGACGGTGGGTTTGAACTGCTAACATTGCAGTTACCAGTCCAGTGCTTATCCTACAGCGCCACACCAGGACTCCAGAGCTCCTTTGGTAGTGGTGGTGGTGGTTGTGTGCCACCAAGTAAGTTCTGACTCATAGTGACCCTGTAAAGGGTTTCCAAGGAGTGGCTGCTGAGTTGGAACTGCTGACCTTGAGGTCCCGGACTTATCCTAAAGTGCCACACCAGGACTCCTTTAGTGCCTAAATATTGATCTAACTGGAGACTTCCGTGTCACTTTCAGCGACAAGGGGAAGTTTGGAAGATGTGGCTTGGACTTTCAAAAGTCAGTGTTGCTGGGACATTTTGAGGTGGTGAGGTACACAGTAGAACTGGACAGACTGGCATTTGGATTATCTTACAGAAATCTACAGCATGCCCTCCCCTTTCAACACCCACAGGCAACTAACTTTGAGTTCTTACTAAACCAAGTAATTCCAGGGACGGTTTACTCAGAATGAGGGACGAAAGATGAGAATGCCTCAGTCAAGGCGGCTTGGGACGTGGGAAAGAACAAGTACCTCACTTCCTTTCTTGGGTGCCCCCACTCCCTTTCCCAGCTAAGGGGTGCCCCACAATCCTTTGTGCAGGCTCTTAGAGCAGGGTATAGAGGTGTGCTTCTGTGGGAACTTCCTCCTCTCTCTGGGCACTGCATGAATGTTCTGTGAACCATGAAGACACTGGGAGCCCCAGGCACCATTCCCAGAAAGTAACACAGAAAAGACAAATGAGGAAAGAAGGAAATAAGGAGACCAAACACCACTGCCGCTATTTGAATCCACAGCCGGAATCTCATCCGAGGGCAGCCTCCTCTTAGACCCAGGCCTGCTGGGCTTGGCCAGCTCTGCTCACTGCTAAGTTGCTATCAGGAGGTTTAAAGAGCTGAGTTTCATTTACAGCAATTTCTATTTAATGATGAATCACTACTGTTGGAGGCGTCATGCCAAGCTGACTTTTGTTTCCCTGTTTGCAGGCATAATTTTCTTTCTGGAGCAATTTTTGAAATATACTCCTCAGGTATGTGAGCACACGAAGGTGAACCACGATTTTCTGTTCCAGCGAGGCCAAGGACATCAAAGTCACAGCTCAAAAGCGGCAAATGGAGGAAATGGAAATGAGAGAGCGTGAAGATGAGGACAGCCTGTCTTTATTTCAGTCACAGACACATCAGAAGGCTGGAGAGAGCAAACCAGGAGGCAGGGTGCTGGCACTACCAGCAGCCCCCGGGAGCAGAGGCCCACAGTGAGAAGGACGACTTCGGTATTGTTACAACAGAGGGCAGCACCAAGTGGCCTCTTAGAGAGAGGTCATGTCGTTGAGAGCATGGTCCAGCTCCTCACTGATAGCTTTGTACTTCAGCTTCTGAGCATATAACTCGTCTATAGGGCGCAGGTCCCCAGAGGGAAGAGTTCGGAAGAAGAGATACAGGGGACAAGAATGCGAGGGTCGGAATGGAGGGCCATAGATGAGCAATGTGAGGAAAGAAAAAAACAAAGTGAGAAAACGAAAGAGTGAGTTGGGAGAAAGAGTTGTGTCCCTACATGTAACCTACGGATAAAAAAGGTCTGTGGAGTGGTCTTAGGTCCTGCAGGGGGTGAGCTGTAATAACTCAGCAATGAGTCTTTACAAGTGCGGTGACCAGAAATGGATATGCCCCTCCCCCGCCCCCATTATTCCTGACTTCCTGCGATGCCACCTAGTACAAAGGTTATACTTTGGAATAGGGCATTTTATCTTACGTGGAAACCTCATTTCCCCAATCAAACAGTAAGATGCCTCGACCAACACGCGATCTTTCTGCCCTTTCTAGGCGGGATAGGCCCTTTGGAATGATTTCTGTGTGAACCCTAAGATTCTGGAATTTTCAGGCTATTCTATGAAGAACATTAAAAAAATTGGAACTCTTTAAGCTACGTGGGCACCAGACTTGCAGTCTTCACTGAGGTCCTTATCCAGAATTAGCTGCCAACAAGTTGATTCCGACCCATGACGACCCCAGAGGCACAGGGTAGAAGTGCTCCAGAGGGTGTTCCAAGCTGTGTCCTCTAGGAAGCAGAATGCCAGGACTTTCTTCCAAGGCATGCATCTCTGGGTGGGTTGGAACCGTCAACCTTTTGCCTAGCAGTCAGGCTTTTAACCATTTGTGCTACCCAGGGATTCTATGAGGGAGCTTCACAAAGTGCATGGGAAAATGTCATTAGCTTTTAATTCCAATTTTCCCACACACTTTTTGAAGCCCCCTCGTGTATTCTGTCTAGTTCTGTTTTCTCATCTTGTGATAAACTTTGAGCCCTCTGGAGCGTCTGTGAAAATGGAAGGCACTTCTCAGAATTGAATATATTTAATTTCTAAAGAAGAAGAAAAAACAAAGCCCCACAAAATTAGACAGTTGTATTCGAGTCTCTGTACTCACATATGGACTTAATTAAGCAGAGACCATTAATTTGGATTTCTTGAAAATGGCAATTCTAGTCTGATTCTTATTTGCATTCTCCTGTTCCCATGCCCCAGACTTCCAGATGTGACATCACTCCACACTTGACTCTCTTAAAGGGAACGACCCCCAACTCAGCCCGTCCAGGGACCACGACTGGCGGGGATACAGCATCTAAGGAGAGGAATGAGGACAAGTCCCTACCTTCCAGGTCATCAACAGTCTTTTCCAGTTTTGCAACCGTTCTCTCTGCAAATTCGGCTCGGGTCTCGGCCTGAGAAGGAGCAAGGAGTCACCACTGTTACATCTGGGACCACGCCACCCCAGGGAAATTTGGACTAATTAGGTGTGAACATACTCACCTCTTTCAGTTTGTCAGACACGATTTTAATTTCTTCTTCATATTTATCCTCCTTTTCAGAATACTGTGGGATAAATCAAAATATAACTTTAGAAAAAGGAAGGGGGTAGGGAGAAACAAACGATGCAGGTTCCAAATTCCCTGGAGGAAACACGGTCCTTCAGGTCCTGCCAACACATTGGCCATTCCTAAGAAGCAAAGTAGAGGCTATATGTGGCAAGTTGGGGAAAACCTGGGGGGGGATGGGGGTGGTGGGAAGGGAAGGCATCCCTCTAGAACAGGGCTGAACTGGCAACTCAGATAAAAGCATGATGAAGAAAACGGTGCAGCCACTGGGGAAAACAGCTGGGCAACTCCTCAAAAGGCTGGACAGAGGATTCCACGTGACCCAGTCCACTCCTAGGTGCCCACTCAGAAGAAGTGAAGAAAGGAATAAACCCAGAAACCTGTGCATCCATATACATGGTTAGCCCTCCTCACAAGAGCCCAAAGCTGGAGACAGCTGAAATGTCTGGCCAGAGATGTTGGATAAACACAATGTGGTCTATACACACAGTAAAATATTACCCACTACAAAAAAGAAAACAAAAACTAAATTGCTGAGAGATGGTCTGTGTCTTACTTTGTATGTTTTCACCACAGTAACAACAACAACAACAAAAAGTGTGATGAAGATGAGGCTGATAACTGAATAGAATAACACGCTATTCAAGGCCCTCCACCTAGTTGACTAGGTCTTTGTTTCCAATCCTGTCCTCCACCAACTTCCCCACGGGGCTGGCCATTCTCTGAACATGTCTGCACTGTCTCCTGCCTCCCCGCCCTTGCCTGAGAGAGTTCGTACTGCAGCAGAAAATGTTCCTTTCCTCATGGCTACCTGTTAGAAATGGTATCTGTCCCTCAAGGCTCAACCCAGATTAATACTGTTTTCAGCTCCTGGCTCATGAGGCCCTAATGCCTAACACACTGGGATGCTGCTGCCCAGCCTTGTACTACCCCCAGGATCCATAGGGTTCTTTTGGCTTATTTTCGGAAATTGATAGCCAGACCTTTCCTACTAGTCTTAGTCTGGAAGTTCTGCTGAAACCTACTTAGCATCACAGCAACACACAAGCCTCCACAGATGGGTGGGCGGTGGTTGCACAAGAGGTGTACTGGCTGGGAAGTGAACCCAGGTCTTCCACATAGAAGACAAGAATTCTACCACTAAGCCATCACAGCAACATCTAGATTAACATTGGCCCCAGGGCCTAGCCAAGTGCTTGCTACGGTGCTAGAAACCCTTTAGCACATTTTCCAGATGAAGACACAGTTACAGTGGCTAAGGTATCTGAGGACACAGGGGCAGTTGGAACCTGACTCTGGAATCTATGCTTCCCACTGTCACACTCTATACAGAAGAAGTGGCACCTTGACCAAAGTACTTGTCAAGCTCCCCTACAGCACTCCCAAAACATGGCTATTACTTGGTATGCCCGTGTTTCCCATAGATTAGACTCTGGGCTCTTCAAGGGCTATCTCTGTAACATCTACGCCCATGGCTGGGCATGGCTTTTGGTAAGCATGCATGCACTGCAGTTATTTAATTGTTGCTGTTTCATGCTGTTGAGTTGGTTCTGACACATAGCAACCCTATATACAGTTTCTGAGGAGCGGCTGGTGAGCTTGAAATGCTGACCTTGTGGTTCAAGTTGATTTTGCAGTTCAGCATGTTAACTCACAGTGCTACACAGGACTCCTTACTGGGTACCTGAGTATCACATGTGGGCCAGCTATAGTGCTAGTCCTTGGGATGTATTTTTGAACAAGACAGATAGTTACAAACTAACAAGGAAGGCATACAATTCATTCAGTCACTACAACAAGTATGGAGACAGAAAAAGATAAGAAATGGGTTACCCAGCAGAGAAACAGCCAACTTAGATGAGAAATCCAGAAGAAGTGATATTTAAGTCAAGGCCTAAGGATGAATCCACCATGTTGCTGGGATGCTAGAAGTTTTATGTCACCAACCTTTCAAACATCAGCAGGGTCAACAATGGTGGACAAGTTTTAGTGGAACTTCTAGACTAAGAGGAAGAAAAGAGGCTTGGAGATTGACTTCCAATGAAACTTCTATGGATCACAACAGAAGACTTTTGCTTTGGAGAGATGGGTAACTGGAGGCCATGTCTGGTAAAGCAGAGGGCCAGTGAGGTTAAAGGACATGGATTGGTGAGATGGGCTTGAACAAGCTGGTGGCAGTGAGGATGGAGCAGGACTGGGCATGGTTCCATTCTGTTGTGCCCTGGTCACCATGAGTCAGCTGACTGGAAGACAGCTAACAATAGCAAAGAAATGAGCAAGGTTTTATCAAGTACAGACACACGGGAAGGTGACTCCCGGTTGAGTCAACAGCTGGAAGGACTAGATGAGAAGGGAAACAGGGAATGTGTGAGAGACTCAAAGAGTTGGAGGGCAAGAGGTCAGGGAATGCTGTGCCTGGTAATTTGGCAGGGCCGGATAAACTCGTACACTCCTCCTAACGTGGCTCTTCCCCAGAGTGACTGCTCTGGGAACTGTTTCTGTCTAAAAAGCCCAGTTCCACTTCTGATCTCTGCTGCTGAACCTTCAACAAGGCATTCCTGGAGAAGACTGTGGATTTCAGTGAGTGTAGACTCTGTACTTACACCAACGTGACCAGATCTTCCTAAGAAGAGCCTTAACCCCTCAAAAAACCAAAACCACTGCCACTGAGTTGCTTCTGACTCATGGTACCCCCACATGTATAGAGTAGAACTATACCCCACAGGGCTTTCCAGGCTGTGACTTTTTCTGAAAACACTTCACCAGGCCTTTCTTCCAAGGTGCCTCTAGGTGGAGCTGAGCTGCCAACTTCTCAGTTCCTATTAAGTTGAGTATTTAGCCGTTTGCCCCACCCAAGTGCTCCTAAAAACAACTAAACGCGATCCTGATTCAGGGTAAGCCCAAGTGTGTCAGAGCAGGACTGTGCTCCATCGGGTTTTCAAGAATCGCCAGGCCTTTCTTGCGTGACACACTGCTAGTTGAGTTTGAACTGTCAAACTTTAGGTTAACAGTCAACTTTGCACCAGTCTAGGGGCACCTTACCAGGTGCCAGCCTCACAGTTTGTCTCCGTGCTCATTTGAAATGAAGATAAAATATAGTGCCAGGACCCCACTGAATAAAGACCTGTGAGTCTTTGAGGGAAGCCAAGCCACTGGACACCTGTCTGTATGAGGAAAGGACCTGGTTGCTGGACCCCAAAGCTTCTGTTATCAACATAAGGTCCGATTCCCGATATAGTCTGGCATGCTCAGCTGTCCCTCGGGGGAAGAAAAGGACACAGGTAAGCAGGTAAGTCACCCTCAAACCCAAGCCGCCACCCACCTTTTCTGAGGCTGCCTCAAGTGATTTCAGATTGTTGGTGACATTCTTGAGTTCTTCTTCCAGGTCACCACATTTTCTGCACAAAGACAAAGGGGTTTTGTGACTCACCCTCCTTCACAGCAGGAAGTTTCCCCCAGGAGGTGTTTTCACCATGAGCCCCGGGGGTGGGGGTGGGGAATGTGGGGAAACTTTTTTCAGTGAATTCTTCTATAAGGAAAGGCTGTGTACTTATCAAAGTCCAATCATACCAGGCCAAGGCCCGGCGAGCCTGGGAGTCTCTGAGAGCTTTGTAAAGGGCTCCTGCCAAGGCTAAAAAGCACAAGGCCTTGTGAAATCTGTGATTGATGAGGCCGACTCCGGAAGCTGGAAGGAGACCTGAGCAGGAGACTGGGAGACGGCAGCCAGTGTACACTGGACGCTGGGGGCAGGTTAGTGAAGTGCGAGCTCTCGAGGTTCTGCACTGGATTCCTCAGTCCCTGCCAATGGGAGAGGCGTTCCCCCGTTCTCACCTCTCCCTCAGGAATGTGCCACCGCCAAGCACTGACATCAGGAGATGAGCATCTAGATACTGCCAGGGTAGCACGGCTTTCCGAGACAGAGAGCCTTTGGGGAAACGGGGCTCTGGGACTCTCTCTTACAATGTTATAGACTACACTGTGTCCCCTAAAATCTGTGTTGGCATCCTGATGCCTTCATTCCCTTTAGGAAGTGGGTTTTCTTTGTAGTTAAGTGTTGCTGTTGAGTGCTGTGGCGTCATTTCCAACTCATAGGGAACCCGTATAGATTATCTGAGGAGCCAATCTTGTGGTTAGCAGGCCAGCGCTTAATCCTATAGTGCCACACCAGGATATCAGTGTTGTTGTTGTTGTTGTTAAGTGCCATCGAGTCAGTTCCGACCCATAGCCACTCTGCCTAGGAGTTCCGAAGAGCAGCTGATGAGCTTGAACTGCCAACCTTACAGTTCAAACGGCTTTACAGTCTGGCGCATTAACCCACAGCGCCACACCAGGGCTCCGGATATCAGTGTAGGGACTGCCTTAAGCTAACTGCTTCAGAGACTTAAAAGGAGATGAGACTCAGAAGGAAGCATTGTTGTTGTTGTTGTTAAGTGCCATGGAGTTGGTTCCGACTCATAGTGACCCTGTACAGCGTTTCCGAGGCTGTAAATCTTTACGGGGGCCGAACGCCTCATCTTTCTCTCACGGAACTGCTGGTAGTTTCGAACTGCTGACCTTGCAATTCGTAACCACTACGCTACCAGAGCTCCTTGGGTGAAAAGAGAAGTCCCATGCAGACAAGCTGAAAAAGACAAGGATCTTCCCCCAGAGCTGAAAGAGCCTTCCCCTCAGACTTCGTCTCCTGAATTGTGAGAAAACACTTTCTGTTCTGCAAAGTGCCCCACTTGAGGTATTTCTGTTACAGCAGCTCTAGCAAACTGAGACATACACTAATCTCCCTCTCTGTAGGAACAGCCCACATGTGGACATCATTCCCAAGACAAGAAGAACAGGTATCAGCTCTCTTTGTCACCAAAAGGAGGGACTGAGCTTCTCAGGCGCCCAACCACTTCAGCAGAGGGCTTAGGCCAGAGGCAGTTCCCCACACAGGCAACTCCCGCCCCGCAGCAGGGCTGGATCCCAGTTCGTCCGGTTCTGCCACTCACAGTTCAGACACCTCCGCACGTTCCTCCGCTCTCTCCAGCTCACCCTCTAGGATGACGAGCTTCCGAGCTACCTGTGGAGACAGACAAGCCCAACCAAGACTGACTCCCGACACCCTCTTCATGTAGGTCATCCCCCAGGGGTCCCTGTGCAGACAGACGAGCCATGGGCTCAGAACATCTGTAGCATGGGGCTTCCTGCCAGCTGTTCAGCTCAGGGAGTCCTGAGTTGCTGTCCAGTTTCTCTTGAGCTTTCAATTCCTGGAGACCCCGTATGTGACAGAATGCAACATAGAGTCTGACCTTTTGGGAGCAAAGTGCCAGGTCTTACTTCTGAGGTACCCCTAGGTGGGCTTAAACCACCACCCTTTCTATTGTCCACAGTTTAACCCTTTATACCACCTAGCCGCTCCCTTCTATAGGGTTTTCAATGCCTGACCTTTTGGCAGTAGGTCACCAGGCTATATTCTTCTGAGGTGCCTCTGGGTGGACTCAAACCTCTAACCTTTGTTAGCAGCCAATGCTTGTATCACCAGGGACTCCGGGGGAATATCTAAATTTCTACCCTTGGGCCTCAGGAGTGAGGTGGGGAGGAAGGGAAAAAGGCATTAGCCAAGGGGGTGAAGAAGAGAGCATGGGCTTTCCTGGTCTACAGATTCAGGGCTGAGGATGACAACATGCTGCCAGAAGGTCCCTGGGTACAAGTGGTTTGTTGTCAGACACTAATCTGAAGGTGGGTGGTTTGAACCCAATCAACAGATCCGCAGAAGAAAGACCTGGTGATCTGCTTCTGTGAAGATTATGGTCAAGAAAACCCTAGGGAGCAGTTCTACTCTGTCACATGTGGGGTTGCCATGAGATGGCCACAGGACTGGTGTTTTGGTCTGTGCTGCCAGAAAGCCCAGCTGACAGACGTGAGTGATTTAATCAGAGGTTTCCCCACCCGACAGAGCTCTCCAGGACCTTTGGTCCTATGGAAGGTACAGTTTTCTAGCCAAGGGGTTGCCTCTAGAGAAACAAATGTGCGTGCAGGACAGCTGACCTAACCAGAGCTTCCGCTGAGCATCCCTGCTTCTCCTTATCAGCACACCCATTTCCTCCCTGCTTCCTCTTGCCACCACCCTCCAGCCCTGCTCACCTCCTCATATTTGCGGTCGGCCTCCTCAGCAATGTGCTTGGCCTCCTTGAGCTGCAACTCCTGAATCTCCATCTTCTCCTCGTCTTTCATGGCCCGGTTTTCTATCACCTTCATGCCTCTGCCAAGAGCAACTTCATCAGGACTGCCATTTACTCCCCTTCCCCAGTGCTATTCACTTCCCCTGCGCATGTCAACATCATCATCTCCAGTATCAGATGAGCACCACGCTCCACAGATGACCCTCTGCAGGCCTGCCACAACCCAACTCACAGACTGAGAGCCAGCCATATGCTCCCTCGATGTTCACTGTTATGGATGGAATTGTGTAGTATTATTGTTGTTGTGTGCTGTGGAGTCGGTTCCGACTCATAGCGACCCTGTACAGGCTATAACTCTTTACGGGGCAGAAAGTCTCATCTTTCTCCTGTGGAATGGCTGGTAGTTTCGAACTGCTGACCTTGTGGTTTGCAGCCCGATTCGTAACCACTACGCTACCAGAGCTGTGTATGTATTCCCTCCCCAAAATGTGTATGAATTCTGATCTCTGTATCTATGGATATGGCTGTGTTTGGGAATTGGGTTTTCTTTGTTATGTTCATGAGGCCACACCAGAGGCCACAACATTGGTGTTAAGTGCTGATTCACAGGGATCCTATATAGAGTTTCCAAGGAGCAGCTGGTAGGTGTGAACCTCCGACCTTGTGGTTAGCAGTCCACTGCTTCTCCTAGGCTGGGCCCTAAACCTAGTTACTTCTGAGTTATAAAGAACGGCACAGACACAGACTGTTCGTTACTGCTCAGTCAGTTCCAACTCATGGCGCGCTCCTGTGTACAGACTAGAACTTGGCTCCATGGGGTTTTCAGAAGCAGGCCATCGGAAATTTCTTTCAAGGTGCCTATAGGTGGGTTTGAACTGCTGAAGGGACTCCACAGTACAGACACAGGGACAAGCAAACGGGAGACAAGCAGATGCCGTGAGAAGATCACTAAGAACCGAGGAACGCTGGAACTACAGAGGCTGAGCCCGAGGACCTTTCCCGGGAGTGAGAGAGACTTCCTCCAGAGCTGGTATCCTGGATTCGACTTCTAGCTTCCAGAACGGTGAGAAAATAAATTTCTGTTTTTTAAAACCACCTACTTGTGGCATCTGTGCTACAGTTGTTGAGGATACGAAGACACAATTGCCAAGCACTGTCCTACAGGCACTTTGAAAAAGGTGTATTATCCCCATTTTACAGATGAGAAAATTGAGGCAGCAAGATTAAGTTCCAGGTCTCTGATAGTTGGTGGCTGTTAGCTGCCATCGAGTCAGCCCTGACTCATGGCAATCTCATGCGAACAGAACAAAAATACTGCCCAGTTCTGAGCCATCCTGTGATTGGACCAGTCGTTTCACTGGCTGATTTCTGGAAGCAATTTGCCTGGTCTTACTTCCACGATACCTCTTGGGTGTGTTAGAACCACCAACCTTTCAGTTCATAGTCTTGTGTTTAACCATTTGTGCCACCCCCACCCCCTCCAGGGACTCCTTCAGATGAATTAGAGAACTTTGCAGAAGCCCCTCAAGGCTAATACATCAGTATGTATGGAGTCTGCCCAGAACAGAGCAACACACACAGAGCCCCAAACCATGGAGTCAAATGCCTTGCTGCACACATTAGAACAGACCTGCTAGGGGCTTCCTGGCTGTAATCTTTCCAGAAGCAGATTTCTAACCCCTTCTTCAGCAGGTGGGTTTGAACTGCCAACCTTTAAGTTACTAGGTGAGTGCAAACGATCCCTGCCACCCAGGGACCCACTGAAACACAGCATTCTCCCTGTCAGATATCCCCAAAGGCCTCTGGTGTCACTGTGCAGACCAGGGAATGGCCTTCCCAAGCTCTGTGCCATTGGGAGGTCTTTGAAGTGAGACATCTGGCAGAGAAGTCAGCACAGAGGAGAAGGTGGCTATCCTATGGAGATCACTAGGGTTACAAACACTGACAGGGACAAGAAGCTTCTCCCTGAGCTGACAGAGAGCCTTCCCCTAGACCTGAGGTCCTGCATTCAGACTCCCAGCCTCCTGAATGGTAAGAAAATAAATTCCTGTTCATTAAGGCCACCAACTTGTGGTATTTCTGTTACATCAGCTCTAAGAAACTAAGACACCATGGGAACAACTCAGTCAGACTCTATGAATCTCCACTTATTTTTTAAACCTCCAGCTTCCAGCCCTAACAGCACTATCAGAAAGGACTCCCGGGCCGGGAGTGGGTCCAGTGAGGATCCTGGTGGGGTCGTGTGGCAGACGTGTAGTGCAGTGACCACCGTCTGGCCCACACCATCACCACACACGGACCCTACTGACCGCCCTACATAGTCCTCAGCTCTGTGAGTCAGACAATCTACTGTGCTTGTCGTGACAAGGCGTGTCAGAGAGCCTGCCTGGAGGATGGAGAACCCAGCCTCAGGTCATAGACACGAGAATGTTTACCGCCCCAGTGTGCACTGTTGTGATCTAACAGTGGTCACTGCCTGTTCTGGACTGAATTTGTTGTTGTTGCATAGTTGTCAAGTCAATTCCTACTCATAGCGATCCTACAGAACAGACAACTATGCCATAGGGTTTTCAAGGCTGCCATCTTTATGGGCGCAGATCGCAAGATCCTTTCTCCCACAGAGCAGCTGGTGGGTTGGAACCACTAACCTTTGGGTTGGCAGCTGAGATTTAACAGCTAATTTATGTTTATTGTGGTGGTTAGGTGCCGTGGAATTGGTTCGGACTCATAGTGACCCTGTACAGGGTTTCTGAGGCTGCAAATCTTTACGGGAGCAGAAAGCCTCATCTTTCTCCCGCAGAGCTGCTGGTAGTTTCGAACTGCTGACCTTGAGGTTCCCAGACAGAGCTCCTTCCATGCTGTAAATCCTAACCTCTTTATCTGGTTGTTGTAATATTTGGGTTATAGGGTTTTCCTTGTTATGCTAATGAGGCCAGATTTGAGATGGGTGGGTCCTAAACTTAATCACTTTTGAAGTAAAAAAGAAGCCGATTAGCAACAGAGAGAAAGAAGCACAGATAGGGAAAGACTGATGCCTCCCAGAACCAAGGTATGCCAAGGAAGAGAAGCTGGAAGAGACAGGGACAGAGAGCCAGCTTTTCCCCACAGCCCGGGGTAACCTGAATTCAGACTATCAGTCTCTCAGATGGTGAGAAAATGCATTTCTTTTTTTTTAAAGCCACCCACTTGTATTGTTCTAGTAGCTCTCGGGGGACTAAGACATTGCCCCACAGTTTAATGTCCTGCCCGAGAGACCATGGAGTAGAGTTTTCCATCTCTGCCCAGAGAGCTTTTGAGCCAGGATGCCCTATCATCATGGAAGTATTTCTGTTGTCCGTGAGTAATTAAAACAGTGGTTACTATGGCCAATACCGTCTGTGTGTTGTGTGTTTCCAACCTAATCGGGCTACATGGGTAGAAGACCCTTGGGTTGGCATCACTGGGTGGGATTCTTATGCCAGAAATCTGGTGGCTGCTTGGAATCCAGACACAGCCTTCAAGGCAACCTGTGCATGCGCAATGCAGAGATCAATGGATTTCATGGCCACTGGCTTCTAGGTGTCCTCACCTCTCACTCTCATCTGCAGCCTTCTCCGCCTCCTCCAGCTTCTGAAGGGCTGTGGCCAGGCGCTCCTGAGCCCTATCTAGCTCCTCCTCCACGAGCTGGATGCGACGGTTGAGAGCTGCCACATCACCTTCAGCCTGAGTGGGGGGCAAGGGACAGAGGGCAGCTGGTTAAGTAAGAAGGAACTGGACAGTCAGCAGTGGGGGACTCTCCCTGCCCCCAGACACCATGCCCTTTCCACAGCAAACACACTCCCCACCCAAGTCCACCCAGGAATCTAGGCAATAAGGCACACGGGTACTCCTGCCTGGAGAGGGAATGTAAATTTCCAGTATGGGTGGGGACATCTGACACTCAACAACCAAAAGGACTGTGTCTCAGCAAAAGATGGATGGTTAACACCAGAAGAGAGACAAGGAGCATGCCGTGGGATCTGAGACAACAGTGCTGGCTTCTCCAGCAACTCGTAATGAACCCAAATGGGGAAAAGGTCCTGGGAAAAGTCCAGACTACTACTGGGTCCCTAGACAGCAAGTCTATCAGTGACCCAGCTCACCCTTCTATAGAGGGTCTGCTCACAGTTACCTGAAAGGGAAGATAAATGCAAGAACATGGGAGTCTCATTCTATAGAAAATCCTGATCAAAAGGGGGACACACTGTGGAACACACCCTCAAAATTATTATGGAATCCAGACTCTCTGGAGATACTAAGGCTGGATAATCCTTGAAACTACTGCCCCCATGAAATCTTTTAAATTTTACATCGAAAATATCTCCTAAAGTCATCGTTCAATCAGCAAACAATTGTTTAGCTTAATTAGAGAACTGGAGATTTGTGCTTTTAAAGAATTAAACAAGGTATGGGATCAAACACTAACAGCAACTTGAGAAGTTCAGGGGGCAGTGAGTTTGTACTTGTTGTTGTTAAGTGCCATCAAGTCGGTTCCTACCCATAGTGACCCTGTATGGGGGTGGGGGTGGGGTTTTCAAGGAGTGGCTGGTGAGCTTGAACCACCGACCTTGTGCTAACAGTGGTGAAGTAAACAGAAAATGCTATATAATAAAAAGTGATACAACCTAAAGAACGCCAACAGTGTCACTGAATTGTACCTGTGGAAAAGGTTCAAGGGCTGTATGAGGGGGCTCCAAAAGTTCACGAGAAAAAAATGGAAGAAGATCATGGAATTTTCCCACCAACTTTTTGACACTCCCTGGTGTGTTTTTCTGTGTATATTTTCCTAATATTTTATCAATCAATCAATCACTGAGTGGTTAAAAACAACACCAGAAATGAACATGGAAGTCTCGCCATAATGAAATACCACCACACTCGCGTTAGAACGGCAATGATCAGTAAAAAACAAGACAATAAACAATGAAAACAAGCATTGGAGAAAACCCTCATCCTCTGCTGGTGGGAATTAAAACTGTGCAGCTGCTGTGGAGCTAGGTCACAGTTGGGTGGTTCCTCACACAGTTCAACATAAACTCAGCAATTCCACTCCTTGGTGTCTACTCCGAAGTGAGGCAGGAACACAGAAGCCTGCACACCCAAATGGCAGCCCTCCTCACAAAAGCCAAAAGGTGGAGACACGAGAATTGTCCATCAACACCTGAGTGGATAAACACAGTGCGGTCTTTCCACAAAAGAAACTACTATTCAGTTATAAGAAGAAGTCAAGTTCTGACACATGCCACAACAGAGACCAACTCTAAAAACATCCTGCTGAGTGAAAAAAGTCTCAAAAGAGCCAATATTGTATGATCTCACTTAGATGGAATAAGCAAATACAGAGAAACCAAAATGATTAGTGGTTTCCAGAGATGGGAGGGGGGGTTAAAGGAGGAGTTTTTGCTTGGGGGGCACAGAGTTGGCATTAATGGTAGTGGAACAGTTAGGAAAATGATAGAAGAGTGTAATCAATGCTCTTGGATGGTGTACTTGGGGATGGTTAAATTGATGAATGGATTGTATACAACAAAAAAGGGAGTCTCAGTTAAATGTTGGCCATACAGTTGGAGATTGGGGGAAGAGATGATAGAACAAAATGGTCTGCAAAGGTCTGGTTATAGATACTGAAGGGGTTTCAGAATGGTTGTGTTGACTTGTTAAGGTATTCACCTACAGGCAAAGTGACATGCCACACTGCATAAACAAAGAGACTCGGGCATTGGGCAGCTTGTTTTATCTCTCTGAGCTTCTCCCAACTTCTGGGAGGATTACATCTGAAGGGCGTATTATTAGACCTGGTCCATACCAAAAACCCCAAAATAAAACCCAAAACCAGTGTGTCAGAGTAGATCACAGGGCTTTTTCTTTTTCTTTGAAGGGGGGTGGGGCTAGAAACATGACGTAAGCAGACTACCAGACCTTTCTTCCATGGTGCTCTGGGTGAACTCAAATCTCCAACCTCCTTTTGGTTCATAATTGAGTGTTTAACTTATTGCCCCACCTAGAGACTCCATCGGGAGGCACTGAGGCCAGGCAAGTTTTCTAGGGAGTCCACGTGAGGATGGAACAGTAAGTGTTGATCAACAAGAGCTCAAAAGAGCTTCATAACATGGTCCCATGTAAGTCACAGTATTCATTGCCATCTGTCAGTTTGTCGTACTGTGGTGGCTTGTTAGTTGCTGTGATTCTGAAAGCTATGCCATGGGTATTTTAAATTATCAGCAGGGTCACCCATGGTGGACAGTTTCAGATGAGCTTCCAGACAAAGACAGACTAGGAAGAAGGAGTGACGGACTACTTCCCAATATTCAGTCACTGAAAACCTTATGAATAGCAGAGAAACACTGTCAGATACAGTGCTGGGAAATAAGCCCCTCAGGTTAGAAGACACACAAAAGGCTACTGGGGAAGAGCTGCCTCCTCAAAGTAGAGTTGACTGTGTTGACGCAGAGGGAGTAAAGCTTTCAGGACCTTCATTTGCTGATGGGGCACAACTCAAAATGAAGAGAAACAGCTGTAAACATCCATTAATAATCGAAACATGGAATTACAAAGTATGAATCTAGGAAACAAACATCGATATCTTAGGCATTAGTGAGCTGAAATGGACTGGTATTGGCCATTCTGAATCTGACAACCACGTGGTTTACTTGCTGGGAATGACAAATTGAAAAGGAATGCAACACCATTCCTTTGGAATGGTGTTGCATTCATGGTCAAAAAGAACATATCCAGATCAGTCATGAGGTACATCGCTGTCTGTGATAGGATAATATCCATGCGCCTATAGGGAAGACCAGTTAATACCACTATTATTCAAATTTATGCACCAACCACTAAAGCCGGTGAGGATGAAACAGAAGAATTCTACCAACTTCTTTAATTTGAAATTGATCAAACATGCAATCGAGATGTCTTGATCATTACTGTTGATTGGAATGCAAAGGTTGGGAACAAAGAGGAAGGATCTGTAGTTGGAATATATGGCCTCCGTGATAGAAATGATGCTGGAGATCACATGATAGAATTCTGCAAAATCAATTATTTGTTCATTTCAAAGACCTTCTTTAGGCAGCATAAGAGAATACACAGAAATCAAATTGACTACATCTGCAGAAAGAGATGGTGGAAAAGCTCTATATGATCAGTGAAAGGATGGCCAGGGGCAGACCGTGGAACAGACCATCAACTGCTCATATGCAAATTCAAACTGATGCTGAAGAAAATGAAAATAAGTCCATGAGAGTCAAACTATGACCTTGAATACATCCCACCTGAATTTAAAGATCATCTGAAGAACAGATTTGGTACATTAAACACTAAAGACCGAAGACCAGAAGAGTTGTCAAGAACATCATACATGAAGAAAGCAAAAAGTCATGAAGAAGACAAGAAAGAAGGAAAAGATCAAAATGGATGTCAGAAGTGACACTGAAACTAGCTCTCCAGCGTACAGATGCTAAAGTAAATGAAAGAAATGAGGTATAAGAGCTAAACAGAAAATTTCAAATGTCAGCTTGAGAAGACAAAGTCAAATGTTACAACAAAATGTGCAAAGATCTGGAGTCAGAAACCCAAAAATGAAGAACATGCTCAGCATTTCTCAAGCTGGGGGAAATGAAGGAAAGTTCAAGCCTCTACTTACAATATTGAAGAATTTTATGGGCAAATTATTGAATGATGAAGAAAGCATCAAAAGAAGATGGAAGGAATATACAGAGTCACTGTAACAAAAGGAAATGGTTGATGTTCAGCTACTTCTAGAGGAAGCTTATGATCAAGAGCCAATGATACTGAAGGAAGAAGTCCAAGGTGCACTGAAGGAATTGGCAAAGAAAATGGCACCAGGAATTGATGGAATAAAAACTGAAATCTTTCAAGAGAGTGAGGCAGCACTGGAGGCACTCAACTCATCTCTGCCAAGAAATTTGCAAGACAACTATCTGGATTGGAAGAGATTCGTATTTGTGCCCATTCCAAAGAGAAGTGACCCAACAGAATATGGAAATCATAGGACAGTATCTTTGATATCCCATGCAAGTAAAGTTTTGCAAAAGGTAATACAGAAATGGCTGCAAGCATCCATTTACAGAGAACTTCCAGAGGTTAAAGCTGGATTCAGAAGAGGATGTGGAACGAGAGATATCATTGATGATGTGTGATGGATCTTGGCTGAAAGCAGAGACTATCAGAAAGATGTTTACCTGTGCTTTACTGACTACACAAAGGCTTTTGACTGTGTGGATCATGATAAACTATTGACAACATTGCGAAGTATGAGTATTCCTGAACACTTAATTGTGCTCATGAGGAATCTGTACCTGGACCAAGAAGCAGTTGTTCGAACAGAGCATGGGAACACTGAATGGTTTAAAATTAAGAAAGGTGTGAGACAGGGTTGTATTCTTTCACCATACTTATTCAACTGTATGCTGGGCAAATAATCCAACAAGCTGGGTTATATGAAGAAAGACGTGGCATCAGGATTGGAGGAAGACTCATTAACAACCTGCGATATGCAGATGATACAACCTTGATCGCTGAAAGTGAAGAAGACTTGAAACATTTACTTACGAAGATTAAAGAGCACAGCCTTTGATATGGATTACATCTCAATGTCAAGAAAACAAAAATCTTTATGGGAGCATAAAGCCTCATCTTTCTCCCGTGGAACAGCTGCTAGTTTCAAACTGCTGACATTAAGGTTCACAGCCCGATTTGTAACCACTACCCTACCAGTCTAAAGGAGCTCTGGTAGCATAGTGGTTACGAATCGGGCTGTGAACATTAGGGCCAGCAGTTAGAAACTACCAGCTGTTCTGTGGGAGAACAATGAGGCTTTCTGCTCCCATAAAGATTTACAGCCTCGGAAACCCTGTACAGGGTCGCTATGAGTCAGAACCGACTCCACAGCACATAACAACAACAACAACCACCCTACCAGTAGTGGAATGAAAGTCATTTGCACCACCCAGAGACCTGTGAAGTCACACTAGCTTCTTCCTATCTCTGAATCAGAAGGCTATAAAAAACGAGAAACTGCTCTCTCCCTGCCCCCTCCCCCACCCCCTGCAGTAAAGGAATGAGGTCAGACATGCTGCAAACCACTGGTGGAAAACCAGGAAACTTCTCAGCTCCAGTCTTAGAGACAGGCAGACACAGGCAAGACTGCCACAGGGGCTTTAGATTACAAATTCCTCTAAAACATAATTTGGAGAATCCATTAAAACCATTGGCCAACCCTTAAGGGACACTTTCTGCTAAGGGTGATGGAAAAATATGGGACACTGATGGCTCAACAACGGGATGAACATATTTAATGTTAATCAACAGCACATGCCTAAGGAGCTTTGATAGGGTAGTGGTTACCAATCGGGCTGTGAACCGCAAGGTCAGCAGTTCAAAACTACCAGCTGTTCCATGGGAGAAAGAAGAGGCTTTCTGCTCCTGTACAGATTTATCACCTCGGAAACCCTGTACAGGGTCGACAAGGTCGCTATGAGTCGGAACCGACTCCACGACATGTAACCAACCCATAGCACACGCCAAGATTGTTGAAATGCAAATTATTTTGTTATCTACCTAGTCCCCACCATCAATGAGTTTTAAAGCGGCCCATTCGCTGCCAGCAACTGGGGCAAGTATTTATTTTTTCCTCTCAACTGTTTTTAGTATAACAATAAAGTTGTACAACTGCTGTCACTATCTAGTTCAGTATATTTTTATGGCTCCGGAAAGAAACCTCATATCCATCAGCACCAAGAAGCTGATTTTTAAGATCATACACTGAAGTGCTTCATGAGATATCTTTAGAAAAAAAAAAAAAGAAAGAAAGAAAAAAGAAAGGAAAAATAAGTGAGCTACCCCTTCTGTGGGAAATTCTGAATCTTGGCAACTCTCCTTTTGGCATATTTTCAACTGTCTTAAATCAAGAGATCTGAGGCACACACATACATACCATACACATGAGAGAGCTTCAAAGATTGTGAAAAATGGAATTTTCCCGTGAACTTCTTGAAATCCTCTCATATGTATATGTGTATGTGTGTCTACATACACAGTGAACTCTGTGGGACTACTTTATATTTCTGGGTCCCACAGTTTTCTGCCAAGTCGATCTTATTATTCAGGTTCCAGCTTTGCCAGTTTTATTGTCTATGTTAATTGTCATTTGCCACTGAGTCGGTTCTGACTCCTGGTGATCCCACCTGAACAGAGCAGAACTGCTCTAGACTGTGAAACAGCTCGCCAGCCACCTCTGGTGGGTCCGAACCACCAATGTTTATATACCTAACTGTTAGTGTGTGCATTTTGAAAAAAGTACATATATGTACATACATATATGATATACATAGATGTATTTTTGAAAAAATGCCTGACATGGCTAGTCATTTCTGGCTCCACCTCTTCCTGCAATCAAAGCCTTCCAGTCTACAAAGGATTTCCCTTATAAGGTAAAAGAGGCTCGCTTAGATACATGTGGCAAAGGAACAGGAAGATGTCGGTTAATCACACAAAAATCTAAATGAAACCAGCTGTTGGGAGGCCGCCCCAGAAGTCTGCCACACTCCTGCTGCTGGGAGAGGCTTTTTTTTTTGCCTCTGGGCTCAGTTCCTTTGCCCAGAAACCTTCTCCTACCCAAGAGAAGCAGGCTTTGTAAAAGGAAGTTTTTAAGAAGTTCCAAACTTTCCAAACACATCTTTCCTCCCAACTGGCCTGTCCCATTACTGACTGAGTCTTGGCACACAGCTAACGGCCATTTTTAAGCAGAAGTAATTGTCCTCCAGCGACATGACTTGGGAAGAGATCAGACAGAGGTTAGGTGTATGAGCAGCCAAACCAGCTACTGTTTGAGGCACACATGGTTTTCTAAGGCCTTTTCTCGCCAAAGCAGCCCACGATGGATTAACAGTCACAGAACTACTAGCCTGGGCTCTCCCCAGGATCTGTGTACCTTGCAACTCCTTCCCCTTCTGGATCCCTCCCCAGAGCCCAATACCCTAGGTTCCAGGCTCTTTGGGCTCCCATCCCCTCAATTTCCTTGCCTCTGAGCCTTAGTACACTGAGTTTCCTTATCCCAGCAAACTCTTACTCATTCTTCAAAACTTAGCACAATCTCCATTTTGAGACCTATAAGAGAGACTAGAGAACCCACCAGAGCACTAACCACACACTCCACTTCATTTGTGCATCCTCACAACACTGTATCACCCCTCCACCGGGGGGTGGGGGGGGTGGGGGGTGGGAATCAAGAGAAAACCACTAACTGAACACCTATTATATGTGTGTCCACATGCTGAGGTTCTTGCCTATCTATGGCCAATGAGGTAGGCACTATTATATTATCACCACCTACTTTATAAGTTGGGTGGCAGGCTCTGCCAGGAGGACAAGGTGTTAGGATGGTAGGCGAGATGGGACTAGAGAGCCGGGTGTCTCCCCAGCACAGGTGTGGCCACCTCTGTCCTGAAGGGCAGTCAGGATGGTAAGGGTAATGGAGGCTCCTCCTCACCCTTTAGGTCTCAGGCATACAGTAGGCACTCAGATGAGTGTGGGTGATGGATTCCAAGCTAGTTAGCAACCCCCAGCCCTAGTCCCTACTGGCCCCCGGCGGCGGTTCAGGCAGCTCTGCTGTTCACCCTCTCTCCCTCCGTCCATCAGGGAGCAGACACGTCCCCGCTGCGCTCTGGGAAAGTTCGGCGGGAGCTGGAGCAGAGCAGGAGAGCACTAACTGAGCCGCCCGGGTGCGCTCTGTAGGCCCAGCCCCACACAATGGCTGCTCAGCGTCCCCCTCACCCTCCACCTTGCACTCCGGACCAGGCGGGGGTCCCACCCGTTCATAGAGCGTCTCCCCCACCAACGATCGCTTATCTCACCCCTCCCCCATTTCCCGCTCGCCGGCCGCACCCAACTTGGCTGCAGCGCCCCCTCCCCAGGCCTGGAGAGAGGGCTGAGGTGGACTAAGGGTGTCGGGTGTGCCCCCGGTGGGCGGCTGAGGAGAAGGAGGGGGTCCGCGGGACCCGATGCTGGTTGAAGCGAGTGGCCAGCAGTGAACGCGGGAATGGGGCGTCGCCGAAAGAAAGAAAAGAAAGGAGGGGCGGCCGGGGGTCCTGGAGTGTGTGAACCAGGGGTCGAGGAAGGGGTCCCGGGAAGGCAATATGGAGAAAACCCGGCAGAGGGTCCGGGGAGGAGGATGGCGAGAGGCACCGGAAGAGGGTCCAAAGGGAGCCGGGCCGGGGGTCCCAGGTTGGGGCATCCGGCGCGTTACCGGAGGCGCCAGGAAGTGGATCCTCTGGGGGCGCAGGGACAGGGGCGCGGAGCTGGAGGCTCCAAGGCAGATAGAGTGGGGAAGGGAATCGGGGAGAGGCGCCAGGGCAGGGATCTAGGGGTACCGGGTCGGGTGGCGCCAGGCTGAGAGCACAGGGCTGGAGGCGCCGGGGAGGGGTGGGGGTAGGGATTCCGGCGGGAATCGCGAGGTCTGGGAAAGCGTGGGGTGCGGGACAGGGATTCCCGGGGCCGCGAGGGATGGAGGCACCAGAGCGGGAATGTTGGGGTGGCAGAACCCGTGCGTGGGTGGCGGGACCCGGGCCTGGGAGCGGCGGGGCGGGGATGCCGGGGCCCCGCGCGCTCACTTTCTCTCGCCGCTCGCGTTCGCCGTCCAGCTCGCGCTGCAGGCCCTGAGCGCGGTCCTCCGCCTCATCCGCTTGCTGCTGCAGGGCCTGGATCTTGCGCTTCACCGCCTCCAGCGAGTTGAGGCCGGCCATGGCGGGACACGGCAGGACACGGGGCGCAGGCTGGGCTTGGCGACGCTGCAGCACCGCCGCCCCGGCCGCCAGCCTTTGCAACGCCGGCCACCCCCGCCCGTCCCCGCCCCCGGCCCGGCCGTCCGGGTGAGGTCAGCGCGGCCGGGGCGACGTCACACCCCGGGGGCGGGCCTGACGTCTGCACCTCTGGCCGCAGCTGCTGGAGAAGGCCCCGATTCGGGACATATTTGGAGAAAGCGCCAGGAAGCTCCTCCTTTCCCTCGGGTGCGCCCTCCAGGCCGGGATCCGGCAGGCCCTACCGCACGCGCCCCCATTACTGCGCACGTACGTCGGAGGCTTTCTTCTCAGTCATTTCCAGCTTCTCCTGTGCATCCTTCAGGTCCTCAGAGTATTTTTCCAGCTCGTCCTCTGTCCCCTTCAGCTTCTTCTGGAGGTGCGTCAGCTCCTCCTCCACCTGGGGACAGATGGGGGCGCATGTCAACCCGAGGGGGCACCTCCAAGCGGCGGAGGGGCATCCCCTGTGTTCAAAAGAGCCCACTCACTCCCTGGGCCTGTTTCCTCATCTGTAAAACAGGGATAACAGCAGTATGCTGTTAGTTTCCCTTGTGATTTGGACTCATGGCGACCTCAAGTGTGCATTGTAGAGCTGCTTTCCACAGGGTTTTCAAGAACGTGGAAGCCAACAGCCAGGCATTACTTCAAGACACGCCTAGGTGGGTTTGAACCGCCAACCTTTCATTTAACATTTAAGCACTTAACCATTTGCATCACCCAGGCGTTCCTACATAGTAAGTATGCTTGTTGTTAGTCAAGTCAATTGGGTTTCATAGCGACCCGTGTGATAGACCTGCACCTAAAGGTTCTCTTGGCTATGATTTTTACGGAAGCCGCTAGGTGGGTTCTTTCGATTAACATTTGAATGCTTAATTGTTGAGTCACCAGTGCTCCTTACAATGTTGTTAAGTGCTGTTGAGTTGCTTCTGGCTCATAGTGACCCTAAATAGGGTTTCCGAGCAGCAGCTGGTGGGTTTGAACTGCTGACCTTGGGGTTCCTAGTCACAGTGTGACTGATCCTACAGTGCCACACCAGTAGGACCAAAGCCCAAGCCACCGCTGTCAAGTCCATTCTGACTCATACCGACTGTACTCAGTCTAGCACAGAGTAGACCTGCTTGGCTTCTCAAGGCTGTACATTTCTATGGAAACAGACTGCTCCATCTTTATCCCTCAGAGGAGCTAGTGAGCTCAAGCAGCTGGCCTTTCAGTTAATAGACAAGCATTTAACCACTGTGTCACTAGGGCTCCACAGTAGTGTGTATTGTTGTTAATGTTGTTAAGCATAATTGAGTTGGTTCCAACTCATAGGGATCCTGCATAGGTTAGCGGCTGGTGGGTTTGAAACACCAACCTTGAGATTAGCAATCCAGTGTTTATTCTATGGCACCACACAGGCCTCCAGAAATGCTAATAGTTTCAAGGCCTCCAAGTGGCACAGTTTGTGCCCAATTTCTAATCTAATGATTGACAGTCCAACCACACCCATCAGAACAGTGTCTTTCAATCCGCTGACAATCTGTTTCCATAGAAACCCTATGGGGTAGTTTCTGTAGTCACCATGAGTTGGAATTGACTGCGTGACAGCTAACAACAGGAACAATATTATTTCCACAGCTCTCATTCTCCCTGCACTGCTCACGTGGGGATCAGGTATGTGGTGCTGTAAGATCAGCCTTGGATGGTGAACTCAAGGTCGGCAGTTCAAACCCACCAGCTGCTCTTTGGAAACCCTGTAGGTCTCTATGAGTTGGAAAAGACTCTATGACATTTAACAACAACAATATCCTTGCACAATCGAGTATAGCATCTGGGAAACGGAGAGAAATCCTGACACATTTCCCAGAAGAACACATTCAATTTTGCATCCCAGTTTCAGGGGTGCAGCCTCTTCATGGTCCTGGATTAAGCAGGAGGAGCTCACATTTTCTGGGCCAGAACCCCCTCTCACTTTCATCCCTAAACTACTCCCCTGTAGGCTTGCTCTCCTCCACACACACACTGACTGTTAGAGACACTTTCTAATCATATGGCTGCTTGTGCTTAGAACTATCTGTGGCTCCCCATTCCCTCAGGCATTGATTCTTAGACGTCTCACCAAAATACACCAAAGGGCTGTGGAGCTCAGATCTTTGATTCAGGACTTTGCGGTCTTGACTATAAGAGGTCTGTCCCTCAAAGACCACTTTATGTGCCCTGGTTAAATCTTTTACAGTCTTGCAAATTTGCCTGTGTTTGAATAAAAATGTCCCCTCCTTTCCCCAGATTTTAGTCCTCTCCATTAATTCTGAGAGTGTGTCCCCATCCTCCATTTCACCCCCCTTTGAGAAGCTCAGATCTGGGAGCTACAGATCCTAGACCCCATGAGCTCATTATCCTTCCCTAGCCTCCACATACCTTAGGGAGCCTGCCTTCCCTGCGCGTCCTGACCATACTCACTGTGGTGGTCAAATTCAACCTTGAGTCTGGGCCGACCCTGCTCCAACTATATCTTTGACATTTGTCTCCTGGTCTTCCAGGGTGGACAGGTAACCCCTCACTCAGCCCCCCTTCATTCTCCTGTCTCCACTTCAGCAGGAAGCCCAGAGAGATAAAGTGACTTTCTCCAGGTCTTACAGCACAGGATCTGAACACAGTGCTTCTGAACATCAGCCCCTGGCCTATCCCTCACCCCAGGCTTACTCTCCTGATCTCTCCCTTATTATTTCTCTTCTGTCCTTCCCCAAAGAAGCTGAGTCATAGAGCTGCTCCTTCTTCTACTTCTAAACCAAGCTCTGAATCTGGGTTGCTCTGAATCTGAGCTGTTGTGCAGTGTACCAGGTTAATGTGCCAGGTGCAGTGCACTAAGTTAATGTACCAGGTGCACGAACCAGGAGCAAAGTACCAGGTTAATGTGCCAGGTGCAGTGTACTAAGTTAATGTAACAGGTGCACTGTACCAGGTTAATGTGCCAG